GCTGTCTTCCCAGGGTCTTCCTTAAATGTGTGTTTTTTCCTACAACAGTTGATTCTCCAATTCTGTACAAACTGGATGTCCTATCATTAATTTCATGTCAATTCTGACATTCATCTTCTTGGAGTTAGCATAGACCCCAGAGGGATCTGCGCTCAGACCCATAAGACTGTCTCCGCTTTAGAAGCTAGCCACAGATGAGGTCCCTTGCACTTCTGCCCAGGATACTATTGTTTTGCAGGTTCCCAAGACCTTCCCTGTGCTTGGTAATTTGCTAAAATGACTCAAGTGAGTCTCAGAACCCAGTCATCTCTTCAACATGCAAGATACTCTGCTACCACTGAAGAAGGGTGTTTAGGACCTCTGAGCCAGCAACAGGGAGCAAAGACCAAATACACTTTTTGTTGTACCACAAGTATCACTTGTGAATTCCTTTACCTCACTCCTCCATTGGATACTATGTTTCTTGTAATTTTTGCCTTTAACTGTTTGGTTTTGCTCTCCCATTTTAGTATATCTTTTTGTATCTTCTTGACAAAGCATTCAAGGTGTTTGGAAATGTTTGAACTACAGCTAATACTGTGACTTGGCAAGTGCATAGTTCTAGCTGCAGGATCGATTTCCCTCAGCCCTGTGAAAGCATTGTTCTGTTGTCTTCTGGCTTCTGGTGTTGCTGTTGAAGTCTGAGTCATTCCAATTCTTGGCCCTTTGTATACGGTTCGTTTTCTCTCTCACAGCCTCTTCCTTTGGTCTTCAGTGTAATGAAATTTCACAGCGTTATGCACTTTCCTGGATACTCAGTGACTTCTGATTTGAGAAATCTTTGAGTTAGTACCTTGATGATTTCCTTTCCTCTCTTTTCTGTTGCTGGTGCTTCTGTTATTTGGATGTTGGACCTCCTCAATTAGTCCTTTAATTGTCTTTTCTCTCCTGCTTTCTATTTTTAAAAATTAAAAAAAAAATTCCAGTCAAGATGGAGGTATAGGTAAACACGCACAGCTATAGAAAAATTACAACCAGGCTACAAAACAACTGTCACCCAGAACCACCAGAAAATTGAGCTGTCTGGAAGCCTGACAACCAAGGATTTAGAGAAGCCACATTCATCCAGACGGGTAGGAGGGGCAGAGATGCAGAAAGAGGTGGAGAGGTGCAGAGAGGCACGGGGCCACGGGAGTGGCCCAGAGTGGTGTCGGAATGGGCAGTCACATGTTCATGTGTAGTGGATAAAAATCCCTCGCTCCCGAGGGATCCCAGTCTCAAACCAGACCACCCAGCAGCCTAGGATTCCAGCCCCAGGAAGGTAAATCCCCATAACTTCTGGCCGTGAAAACCAGTGGAGGTTGGGGAGGTGAAAGAAACTGCTGGATTATCAGGAGACTCCTCTTAAAGGGCCCACACAGACTTAGGAATTATGAAGACCAGCCCCCTCGGAGATTCAGCACCAGGGAAACAGCTCGAAGGTCACAAGTGGCTTAACTGGGGAGAAAGTGAAATGCCTGGGAACCGGGTGAGTGCTGGGAGACTTCTTCCTCCTGGGCAGACCTCCAGAAGCTAGGCTGCAACATTGTCCCTCTCTGAGTCCTCCCCCAACACCCGAGTGTGAACTGGGTTGCCCCGCCCTGGCGATCACCTAAGTCTCTGCCCCACATAATGTACAGGTGCTTTTTCTACAAAAAAAAAGACCATGCTACTAAGACAGGGAGAGAAAGCAGCTGTAGTTAATATACAGAAACAAACACAGGGAGGCCGCCAAATTGAGGAGACAAAGAAGTATGTCCCAGCTGAAAGAACAGAACAAAGCTCCAGAAAAAGAACCAAGCAAAATGGAGATACCCAACCTGTCAGATGCAGAGTTTAAAACACTGGTGATCAGGATGCTCAAAGAACTTCACTGAGTACTGCAACAGCATAAAAAAGACCCAGGCAGAAATGAAGGCTACATTAAGTGAAATAAAGAAAAATCTACAGAGAACCAACAGTGGAGGAGATGAAACATACAGACCAACAATTTGGAACATAAGGAAGAAAAAAGCATTCAGTCAGATCAGCAAGAAGGACAAAGAATTTAAGAAAATGAGGATAAAATAAGAAGCCTCTGGGACATCTCCAGATGTATCAACATCTGAATCATGGGATTGCCAGGACAGGAGGAAGAGCAAGAAATTGAAAACTTATTTGAAAAAATAGTGAAAGAAGACTTACCTAATTTGGTGAAATAGACATACAAGTCCAGGAAGCAGAGAGTCCTAGACAAGTTGAACCCAAAGAGGACCACACCAAGACACATCATAATTAAAATACCAAAGGTTAAAGATTAAGAATCTTAAAAGCAGCAAAAGCAGAGTTACTTGCAAAGGAATTTCCATAAGACTGTCACCTGATTTCTCAAAAGAAACTTTGCAGTCTAGAAAAGACTGGCAAGAAGTATTCAAAGTGATGAAAAGCGAGGACCTACAACCTAGATTGCTCTATCCATCAAAGGTATCATTTAGAAATGAAGGGCACATAAAGTGCTTCCCAGACAAGGTAAAGCTAAAGGAGTTCATCATCACCAAGCCATCATTATATAAAATGTTAAGGGGACTTATTTAAGAAAAAGAAGAAGATGAAAACTATGAACATTAAAAAGGCACAAATTCACAACTATCAGTAATGGAACCTTAACCAAGCAATGAACCAGAACAAGAACAGAATCAGACATGGAGATCACTTGGAGGGTTATCAATTGGGAGGAGGAGAGGGGAGAATGAGGGAAAAGGTTCAGGGATTAAGAAGCATAAATTGGCAGGTACAAAATAGACAGGGAAATGTTAATAATAGTATAGGAATTGTGAAGCCAAAGAACTCGTATGCATGACCCATGGACATGAACTAAGGGGCTATTGGAAGGAATGGGGGTACTGAGCAGAGCAGGGGGAAGGGGGGAAAATCGGGACAACAGTAATAGCATAATAAAATATATTTCAATTTTTTTGCTGTGCTTTTCTTCTTTTTTTCCCAGCACTTTCTTTAGTTTTTCATTTCTGCCACAATTTTTAATTTCCAAAAGCTCATTTTTGTTCTCCATGGTATACCTTTTTAATACTATCTTATTGTTCCTTTATGATTACAGTATCTTTTTTATGGATGTGCATTATTAGTTGGTCTTCTGTCTGTTCCAAAGATGAAATTTTTTTTGTACTCATTTTTATTCAGTGAGTTATAATCTGCACTTTCATTTCAGGAAATAAACTAGGGAGTCTGTCTGTTCTCTTGTTGACCTGGTGTAATAATAGAATTACATCTGTATTGATTGAGTGGAATGAGTGTATTCATGAATTTTCTTTTGAAAAGCACCTGGGTCTGATGCTGTCTGTGAAGGATTTTTGAAAAAAACAACAAAAATTCTACTGATTTAAATTTTTAATGATTATAGTACCATTCATCTTCTGTTTCTTTTCTGGTGAAATTTGATAGTTAATATTTTAAAAATTAGTAATTTTACCTGTTTTAAAACTTGCTAACATAGTTGTTTATAGTAACTTTCTGTCTTTTAATTCATAATCTGCATTGAACCTACATGGTTTTTTTTTCCATTCCTTATATATATTTTTTCTCTTTCTTTTCTTCCCCATCCTGCTTTGTCAATTTGAAAGTCTTTTCAAAAGATCAACTTTTGGCTTTATTGCTGTTCTCCATTATAACTTTGCTTTCTGTTTCTGCTACGATAAATCTGTGGTTCTATATTTGTGTGTATATATCCATATCTATATTTCTCCCCTTTTTGTTTTCATTGGATTTATTCCATTACCTTTTTCTAACTTCTTAAATGGACACTTTGTGATTTAATTTTTAGCTGTTCTTTTGGGATTCCAGAGAAATCTTGAAGCAAGTGAAGGATGGAGCCAGGTGGACGTCTGAGGGGGAAGTATTCCAGGAAAGGGGGAAGTCCTGGAGCAGGAGTGTCCTTGGTGTGCTTGAGAGCAGGGGAGGCCAGTTCCGTGAAGATATTTTTCATGGTAGAAATGTGTAAAACAACTGCCTCCCTCCTTTCACTTGTCAGTTCCTGCGCCGAGATGTCTATCGTATGCAACAGCTGTAGCTAGGAGAGAGAATGCCGTCTCGGCCACTCATTTGTTCATGATCTCAGGCTTCTTCACTTCCTTCATCTTCAGTTTTTCTATTCATAATTGGGTGTAGTCAGGATTAAATAAGGCAAATACGATTATACCCTCACAGTAGGTGCAGAGTAAATGGCCGTTAAATGTTTTGAATTTGTCATATTTACGAAAGTGCTTTCTTTCCACTTAGTGCATACGCCTGTGCTTCGGGCACTGTGCCCTCTGCTGCTGTGGCGTCTGCAGACACCGTAATTGCTGTGATCAGTTGTATCAGTGGCCTCTGGAGGCCAACGTCTTCCTTCTCTGCTCTTGTTTCACTGAGCGGGACTCTCCTTGAGCTGGAAATGTAATTATCTCTTATCGTGTGCCGTTGAACACAGTGGCGATGGTTTGTCCTCACAGTTCCTGGCCTCCCATGCGGTGGTGCCGTCCTGCCTGGACGGGGGTGGCGGCTTGCCTTTGTTGCTGCCACCTTTCCTGTTCCTAAAATGGTTCTGTCATACTTTCTCCCATTAGCCACCATTTCTACTTTACTGCCATCTCGGTTTTGCCCTTCATCCTGGGGTCAGCAACGTTTTTCTTTGATTTGCAGGCCCGCAACTCAACCACTGAGCAACATCAGCCAGGGCAGCACCGTTCTTCTACAAAAGGCCAGGTGGTGACAATTTACACCTCGCGGGTGGTGCAAAGTGTTGTTTCATTCTCCCCTCCCCACCCTTTAAAAATATGAAAGCCATTTTTTATTTAAGTTAGTGAATGTTCTTCCTATGCATTTTACTTGTTTTCTGGTGCTTTCATTTTAAAATTGCAAAGGAGAGCATATAGTCAAGTGTATAAAAACACACACATTTGGAGTCGTGAGTGAGCGATCAGGGGCTGTTGGGAAGCAGGAGCGGAGCAATGTCTAAATCAGAGGAACTTGTTTCTTTGAGCTCTTCTGACAGTGATTCTGACAGTGATGTTGACAAAAAGTTACAGAGGAAAAAGCAAGTTACTTCAGAAAAACCTGCAAAGAAGCAGAAGACTGGTGAAACCTCCTCCAAGCAGAGCGGCAGCAGCCGAGATGGTAACATGGTTCAGGTTGGAAAAATGGGGTCCGTCAGTGTTTGGGACTTTGAAGGAAAAGTCCTTATTGACATTAGAGAATATTGGGTGGATCCAGAAGGTGAAATGAAACCAGGGAGAAAAGTTATTTCTTTAATCCTGGCCGTGGAGCCCGCTGAAGGAACAGATTTCTGACATGGATGATGCAGTAGGAAAATTGTAAAATCAGAGCCATATAAAACTTGGGACTGGTCTAGTTGTCTTAATCCGTCTTTTTATGGTGGCTTTTGTTTTCTAAATGTTTTTTCCTCCCAAGCTATTGTATATTTGGAGTGCAGAACAATTTGCAAGAATATGTTTTTTTAATGCGTATTATTAAAAATGATCTGAATGAAGTTCATTGTCAACTTCACTGAGGAGGATTGCTTTGTGCCCATTGCCTAGTGTAAAATAAAATCAAGTAATACACATTACTAGAAAAAAAAAGTACACATTTGGTTTAATGCACAAAATTGAAAGAAACTTTTGTGAATCCTGTCACCCAAGCCAGAAGTAGAATGTTACCAGTACTTCAGAGCTGGTCCACCCCCCCCCCCATGTCCCTCCCCAGCTGTATCCTGTGGAGTCATGACTTTGTCTTCTTTATAGTTAGTTTTACCACATGTGGTAAGTCTCATAATAATGTATTCTTTGGCTTTTGATTGATTTTGAACTTTTTTTTTAAATTTTTTATTGATTATGCTGTTACAGTTGTTCTATTCCCCCCTTCATTCCCCTCCACCCTACCCCCCATCCCCACCATTACCCCCCCCTTTAGTTTATGACCATGTGTCTCAATTCCTTTAGATTCTATATTTCCCATGCTATTCTTGCCCCCCCATCTATCTTCTATCTACTTCTATTTTCTATGCTACTTATTTTCAGTACCTTCTCCCCCCTTCTCTTCCTCCCACTCCCCTGTTGCTAACCCTCCTTGAGATCTTCATTTCTATGTTTCCACTCCTGATCTAGCTGTCCTTTTAGTTTGCTTTCGTTTTAGGTGTGGTTGTTAATAACTGTGAGTTTATTGTCCTTTCACTGTTCATGTTTCTTTAACTTCTTTTTCTTAGATAAGTCCCTTTAACATTTCATATAATAAGGGCTTGGTGATGATGAACTCCTTGAATTTGATCTTATCTGAGAAGCACTTTATCTGTCCTTCCATTTTAAATGAAAGTTTTGCTGGATAGAGCAATCTTGGATGTAGGTCTTTAGATTTCATGACTTGGAATACCTCTTTCCAGGCCCTTCTTGCCTGTAAGGTCTCTTTTGAGAAATCTGCTGACAGTCTGATGGGGACTCCTTTATAGGTGATTGTCCTCTTAGCTCTTGCTGCTTCTAGGATTCTCTCCTTCATTTTAATTTTGGCTAATGTAATTATGATGTGCCTTGGTGTGTTCCTTCTTGGGTCCAACTTCTTTGGTACTCTCTGAGCTTCCTGGATTTCCTGGAAGTCTATTTCCTTTGCCAGATTGGGGAAATTCTCCTTTATTATTTGTTCAAATAATTTTTCCACTGGTGGCTGTGCCTTTCCCCCTTCTGGTACCCCTATAATTCGGATGTTGGAACATTTAAAGATGTCCTGTAGGTTCCTAAGACTCTCCTCATTTCTTTGAATTCTTGCTTCTTGACTCTTTTCTGTTTGGCCATTATTTGCTTTCTTCTGGTCCACTCCATTGATCTGAGTCCCAGTTTCCTTTTCATTGCTATTGGTATCCTGTGCAATTCCATTCATTTCAATTAGTTTCGCCTTCATATATTTGTCTAATTTGTCGGTATAATCAACCAGTTCTGTGAGGATCCTGATCACCAATGTTTTAAACTGTGTGTCTGTGAGTTTTGCTATTTCTTCGTCGCTTAGATTTATCTCTGGGGCTTTGAGGTCTTCCTGCGACATTTTTGGTCTGTTCTGGCCCTTTAAGTGTGAGAAGCGGCGCCTTGGACTCCCAGGTTGCTGGGTTGTGACGCTGTATGTGGGGGCGTGGTCAGACGAGGGAAATGGCGACCCCCTCTGCTGTTTCTCACAGCTGGGTGCGGAGGAGCCGCGCCTTAGGTGGTTCACCTGGGCCGGGCCACTCAGAGTCGCTGGGTTATGACGCTGTATGTGGAGGTGGGGTCAGAGCAGGGAAATGGCGGCGCCCTCCACTGCCGCTTGCCGTGGGGACCTGCCGGCCAGGTCCAACCGCCCACTCCCTCACCTGTCCACCCGCGCACAAATGCGCAACCTCAGTCAACACGCAGCCCTGCTGCCCCGCTGTCTCCCCCGCGGTCGCTCGCCTGGTTGCTCGCTCGGTCGCTCACTAGGTCCAACCCTGCGCCTGGATTCCCTGTTCCTGAGTCTGTCTGACCGAGTTTTCCTGTGCAATCCCGCTTCACCAGCCGCTGGTTTCGCCCCTTACCGGTCAGGCTGAAGAATTTGTTGTTAACGGACTTCCGAAAAGTTCAATTTTCCGTGTTCTGGCTATGTTTTCTGTTGCTAATATTTAGTTGTCTCTAAACTTGGTTGTGTGAGAAGGCACGGCACATCCACCTATGCCTCCATCTTGGCGGAAGTCTGATTTTGAACTTTTTATACCTGGAATCATACTACCTGTACTTTTATTCAGCGTTATGTTTTTGGGGTGCATTGATGTTAATACACACAACAGTTTGTTCAGTTTCGCTGCTTAATGAACTTAGTTGTTGGACTTCACCACATCCTTTTGTAGTTGTCTTACTGTCAGTGGACATCTGGGTTGTTTCTGGTATTTGTTCTCATGAATAATGCTGCTGTGGTCATTCTTACTCATGTCTGCTGATGCACACGTGAGAGATTTTCCTAGTAGTGACATTCTGGGGCTTCTGCAACTTCAGCTTTCCGTGGTGGTGCCTGTTTTCCAAAGTGGTTGTATCAGTGAGCTCTCTCCCCCACGAGCAGAGGGAGCGAATTTCCTTTGCTCTCCATCCTTGCCAACACACGGCATTGTCCTTGTTCTCAGGTTCGGCTCCTTCAGCGAATGTGATAGTATCTCTCTTATGGTGCTTTTAACTCATTTTTCTGATTATTGAGCAGTTGAACATCTTTACACATATGTTCTTTCTATAAGCTTCTTTTACTCTTGTTTATTTCTGTTTTCCATTTATGGCTTTGCCTATTTCTTACCCATTAAGTTATATCAATATATCTTTTTAAAATAGATTTTTATTTCTATATTATAGATACAGATTATTCATTAATTATTGGGCTATACTTATTTTCTTTTGTTTGTAGTTGTCTTTTGTTCTCTTTATGGGACATTCTTCATTTCAAAGTTAAAAGTATTGGTCTTTCATGTTTGATCCTCTATGTCTTTCGTAATTTTGCCTTTCAAATATAGGTCTTTAATTCACCAGGGATTAAGGAAATCTTCAAACATATAGAAAAGGAGAAAAAAAAATAAAGCATAACCCCTTCCCATATATCCATCACTTAACTTCAAAAAGTCCAATTTTGTTCCATCTATTTTTACCTCCCCACATATTTGGAGGAAGTATTTTAAAGAAAATCTCAGTATCATGTCATTTCTCTTATAACTATTTCAGTTTTATTTTTGTTTTATCAGCTTGATGTATGACTACAGAGAGAGGCATGTTAAAATCTGTGATAGATTTGGCTATTTTTTATTATGGCTTTATCAGTTTTTGCTTTATATATTTTGAGGCTATCTTAAAATATTTAGAATTGCTGTATTTCCTGGTAAATGGAATTTTTTATCATTATGAAGAGACCTTCTTTCTCCCTCTTAACCAGTCTCATCCTGTATCAGACAGAACCATGCCAAGCTTTTGCCTTTCCCAGGTGTTAGTCTCTTGCTCTGCTTTTATTTTCAAATTTTTGTATCATTAAATTTTTTTCCTATTTGTTGTATTGTGGTAAAATACACAGAACATACAGTTCGCCATCTTAACTGTTTTTAAGTGCACGGTTCAGTGCTGTTAAGTACATTCAGAATGTTGTGGCCCCGAACCACTGTCCACCTCCAAAACTCTCCTCCTGTTGTAAAACCGAAACTCTACCCATTAAAAACAACTCCCCGCCCTCCCCTCCCCCGCCCATGCAACTACGCAGGTCATCACATTTTCCCCACGTATCTAACACGCAGCACATACCTGGCTTTTGTATGTTTACCCAGTCTAGCTTTTGTATTTTTATCCAGTCTGTCTGGTTATTTTAGCTGGAAAGTCAGTTTATATAAATATAGTATAAGTACTGATGTATTCTGATTTTTTTCTATCTTATTTTGGAATTTGGTGTTGCCTTTCCTTTGCTTCTTCTTCTTTGCCCTGTTTTGAATTTTTTTCTCTCTTAGTTTCATGTTATGGGTGCTCCTGCTTTTAGTGATAACCTTAGTCATTTTAAGATGCATATTCAACTTACCACAGTCCAAAATTCATCAGTATCTCTCAGTGTTCTTAACACCGTCTTTTCAGTTCAGCCCGATTTGCCTGCTGTCAATCATTATGATGTATTTTAATTTCCTGTTTGAAAACATTCAACCACACAGAGCACTGTCTTATGTGGTCCGTATTCCGTTAACGTTACCTACATGTTTGTACTTTTCTTCTTTTGTGTTTGCATTTTAGCTTTTGTTCTAGGATCATTCTCCTGCTGCCTTTAGCATTTCTTTTACTGACAGCAGGTGGCAAACTCAAGTTTTTCCTTCTTCCAAATTACTTTTATTTTACCCTCATTCACAAAAGATAGTTCTCTTTTTTTAAATTTTATTTATTTATTTATTTATTTATTTTTAGAGAGAGGGGAAGTGAGGGTGAAAGGGAGAGAAACATCTCTCAGTGTATGAGAGACACATAGATTGGGTGTCTCTCACATGTCCGCATCTGGGTACCTGGCCTGGGACCAGAGCATGTGCCCAGGCTGGGAACTGAGCCAGGAACTTTTTGGTTTGGAGGCCAGTGTCTGTCCACCGAATTACAATGGCCAGGGCAAAAGGTGTTTCTCTTTATGTAGAATTCTCTTCTGTCTCAGAACATTGTAGGTATTATTTCACTGTCTTTTGGGTATGAATAAATGTCTGGCTTCAGTTTTGCTTTTGAAGATATTTCCCCCTTTTATTCTTGCTTCTTTGAAGATAATCTTTCTCTTCTCTCTGGCTGCCTTTGAAATATTCTTTTTTGTTGTTGTTATATTCTTTTTTGTTGTTGTGAAATAGCACAAAATATCATTGTGCTATTTCAGTGTCTAGATTCCTTTTTAATAATCCTGTTTGGAATTTACTAGGCTTTCTGGATACGCTGATGATCTTCTTCAGCTTTATAAAGTTTGATGGGAAATTGTTGAGCGTATTGCCACGGCCTCAGTCCTTTAACTCCTTCCGTTCAGATTTTCATTAGGTCTTGTGACTTGGTCATCCGTGTCACTTACTGTCCCCTGTGTTCCGTCTCCGACTCTGCTGTGGTCTGGGTAATTTCCCCTGACCTCCCTTCCAGTTTACTTCATTCACCCATTCACCTTTAGGTTATGTAACCTGCTGTTAAATCTGACCACCAAATATTTTTATTTCTACTAATCCATTATTGATTCTAAGTTCTGTTTGGGTCTTTTTAAATCACCTTGCTCTGCCTGTTGTGTTTTAATTCCTTTTTGTTGTGATTATGGGAGGAAATGTGTATGAGCTGCATGTTTTTCTCAGACTGTGTCTTAGAAAATGTTTGAGGTCTAGTGTAACACAGTTGGGGTTCTCCGGAGGGGACTGCATTTGCTCTGTCTGTTGCCTCGGGCCCCTTGCGTTCCTGGACTCTCAAAAGAAGTTCTGGGTTTGAGGTTTTCTAGAACACTGAAATAATATTTTAAGCTGTAATGACCCATGTGAGGGCTGGCTTGTGGTTTTGAATTCTCAGGGGAGATGTTTTTCTTCCCTCTCTTCAGTGCCTTGGCTCAGGGCAGCGCTTTTTTGCTCCTTTAAACAGTCCCCTTGGAATATGGCAACTCACTTCTACTTCACCCTTATGCAGTGGGTTGCAGCTTTTTGAGGTGCAAGCTTTTCTGGGGACTTCAGACTCCCCACCCTAGGTAGGTCACTCTTCTTCATCTCTTGTTCCCAGAGGTTACAAAGGGAAAAAAGTCAGTAATTGAATTGACTTGGCGTGGCAGATACCTTCAAGCTGCAAATCAGCTTTAGCAAAACTCACTTGACCTTTTTCTCTGTTTCTGTCTTTATGTAACTTTAGTCCTGCTAAGTCCTTGCTGACTTTTGAATGTACTTATTTTCGTTTAAAAATATTTTACCCAGTATTTTAAAAAAGATTTTACTTATTTATTTTTTAGAGAGAGGGGAAGGGAAGGAGAAAGAGAGGGAGAGAAAGCTCAATGTGTGGTTGCCTCTCTCACAGCTCCCACTGGGGACCTGGCCCGCAATCCAGGCATGTTCCCGGACTGAGAATCGAACCTTGACCCTTTGGTTTGCAGGCCTGCTCTTAGTCCACTGAGCCGCACCAGCCAGGGTTTACCCAGTATTTTTACTGTTTGTAGCAGGAGAGTGAGTCTAGACTGCTTGTCCACCAAATGGCTAAAAAGCAGTGTCTGCGTTTTAAGTGCCATATTCCCAACCAGACTTCCCTGTTCTCTTGAGGGGTGGTTGTGGCATCCACCAACGTGAGCAACAAATGGTCCGAAGCTTTCAGGAGTTTAAGATGGAACTTTATTGGCCAAAGCTTTACCTGCGCAGGGGCAAACTCTCGAGGTGTCCGGAGACACGGTGCCAAGAGGCTGCAGATGAGAGTTGCGCCTGGCGCTTACAGCCTGGGGTTTTTATTGGGGTGAGCAAGCAAGCAAATACAGAAGCAGACGTAGCTGTTAGCAATTGGCTATCTCTAGGGAACACACATGGCTATGTTCTCTGCTTGCAACAATGGATACTTTTCTGCAAAGACAAGGTCATGCACAGGCGGTTATCTTGTTCAGTACTCTTTGTACTTTCTGTCTTCCTCGCTGAGTCAGTATGGAGCCTGCCTTGGGTTCCTCTTGGCTACTTTTATCTAATTCCGGGCCTGGCGTGGTCTGCCTCAGACTCCCGTGGCCTTGTCTGTAACACAGTCGGGGGCCCAGGGCACTCTTGGTGATGTGGGTGTACAGTTTTTGAGGCCTTCCATTTTACCTGTTTCGTGTCCATCATTTTTTTAGTTGTCTCAGTTATTGGGTGGGGCAGGTAATACTATTACTGCTTCTTTTTTACAGACCAGTAAATGAAAACTTAGAGGAAGAATTTGGACACAAATCTGGTCATTAGTGGGGCTGGGATTTAGGTTCCTGACTTTTGACTCATAAGTCTGTGTCATCTCTTGATTATTGTATCTTGATATGGAAATTCTAGATAGAACTGGATGAATAATATCTGGATGAAATTATATCTGCATTCTTACCTGAAAGAAATTGTTTGCGGAGGATTCACTTCGCTTAAACTCATCAGTGGCCTAAAACACACGGACGCCTCTTCCAGAAAGGAGAAAAGAAAGACTTTCTCTCCGCGGTTGCAGCATCGCGGAGCACATTTGTTGTGAAATATGGGTGATTCTTGTCTTTTCCTACAGGTGTGTATGTAATATAGATTGCAGCGGATATAGTTTCAACCCCGTGTGTGCTTCCGATGGGAGTTCCTATAACAATCCCTGTTTTGTTCGAGAAGCATCTTGTATAAAGCAAGAACAGATCGATATAAGGCATCTTGGTCATTGCACAGGTAAAATTTGTTCTACTTATCCAGAGTTCTTTCTTGAAAATTACATGTCTTATTTGTACATTTTTGTAGTGTTCCAAATTTGTAAATGAGAAATCTTTGATGCTTTATTTTTTTAATTAGATTTTAGAATTTCTTTGTTCTGTGACTATTTTAGATTTTTTCTCACCTATTTTCATCTTCTCAAGACACAAACCATGCGTTTGGTTATTTATTTACTTATGAATCTGACCTTAACGTGGATTTCTAGATGCAAGCATGGTTCTTAAAGGGTGTCTTAAATTTGTAATGATAATAGCTGTTTCAGATTTAGTCAACTTATTTTAAATATAGTAGCATTATAAATACTGGGTATATATTATATATTTTAAAGGTTTTATTTATTTATTTTCAGGGAGGGGGAAAGGGAGGGAGAAAGACAGGGAGAGAAACATCAATATGTGGCTGTCCCTCACATGGCCCCCACCAGGGACCCAACCTGCAACCCAGGCAAATGCCCTGACTGGGAATCAAACCGGTGACCCTTTGATTCCCAGCCCGAGCCCGAACTCAATCCACTGAGCTGCACCAGCCAGGGCAATACTGGATATATTTCTTCACCTTTTTTTTTTTTAGAACATTCTAGTTTGTCTCCATGTTCTCTCCCTAGTTTTTGCCCCTACATATTAGAGCTGTTGGTGTCAAGTTCTAGAATGTGAGGAAAATCATTACCTTCAGTTAAAAATTCTTTTTGCTCTTTTTGCTTTTTGTCATAGTTTAGAAGCCATGATCCCAACTAAGAATGTGTCTTTGTTTTCCATTCCTACCAGAAGTATTCAGCCACTAAAGACAGAGGTTTTCAAGCCTTCTTTCCTCATCAGGATGCACATGGGCTAGGGTAGTGGGTTAGTTCCGAGCAACACATGAGGTCCACACACAGGCCCATGTGCCGGGTGGTACACTGTTCTTGCTTACTAGGTCTAATCACCTCCCCCAACCCCTCCCTTTTTGGATTTATTAAAGGGATATGTTTTTGTCTGAGCTCAGGGGGAAGAGTTGTAAGCCAAAGTATGTACTTTATGGTGGTAACAAGTTATTCGTGAAATACACAACTATTTGCAATACTTCTAGTCTAAGCTACCAAAAAATACCCAAGAAACTCATCTGAGGGTTTCTGGGTGCCGGTTAGGAGTGTGCCTGGAAGGGGAAACCACTGGCTGATAGGTAGACAGTCCTCTTAGCTTTGATCTTGAGAAAGTGCTACTTTCTTGTATGGTTTGTTCTTCATTCGTGGGGTGGAAGTTAGAGCCTAGGTTGAAAGAGGAGTTTAGAGAAAGAATGTTTTTCTTAGAGGAACTGGAGCATGATCGAATGGTATTACCTAGGATCTCAAAGTCGGAGCAGCTGGCCAAGCTTAAGGATTCTGTTAATTGAAATTTATACAGATTTAGAATCCTTTGGAGTTGTTTGTCCTTAACTTTTATTTTGCTCCCCTGCATAGTGTTTCCATCCACACCTAACTGCATCTTCCCTTCCTCCCCCACTGTGTGCAGGAAGCTTCCCCACAGGTGTCTGTGGTTCAGTTATAGTCTTCCCAGTCTAAATACAACGCACCAGTCAGGGGTCATTTTTATAGCGAAATTGTCTGATAACACAGCTGAGATTCCATATTTAGCTTATTTGATATGTTTCCAGGGGAACCGTGGTAGAAGGTGCATCTCGAGACCATTGTTCTTTGGTGAAAGGATTAATCCTTTCTGTTAGGGTAGTCATTATTTTAGTTTGCACAGGGAAGACTTTCTAAGGCAATGACATGTGAGGTGAAATCTAAATGAAATAGGACTGTTCATCACACAGAACGTATGTGTGGCAGGCCTTGAGGCCCGAGGTAGAAATGCATGCCAGATGTAGAGAAAGGTGGAAAGTGTGAGCGGCTAGTGGGGAGAGCTGGGGAGGACCCTGAGCATTTGGGATATTCGAGAGTTTCATCGTATGACTTAAATCTCGTGTGTATCTTAATTTGAAAACTCTTTTTCTCCCACAGACACAGATGACACTAGTTTGTTGGGAAAGAAAGATGATGGGATACAATATCGACCAGATGTGAAAGGTACTGAATCATGATTTTTTGAATACTGGCTAATTATTGAAATGTTGTCACTAGCTGTCCTTGGTAATTCTATTTCTGTTATAACGACCTTTCCAACTTTGCTCTCTGTAGCAATATACATTATGCAGCAATTATTAATAATAATATTAACTGAAATTGCTGAAGTGCTTCTCAATTTACAGAATACACATTTTTATTGTTTTTTAACTTTTTAAGAAAGATTTTATTTATTTATTTTTAGAGAGGTGAGAAAGAGAGGGAGAGAAACATCCATGTGTGAGAGATACCTTGATCAGCCACCTCTCGCACACGGGCACTCGGCCGGCAACCCAGGCTTGTGCCCTGACTGGGAATCAAACTGCTGACCTTTTGGTTTGCACGCTGGTGCTCAATCTGCTGAGCCATACCAGCCAGGGTAGAATGTGCTTTTTTTAAATTGAAATTTTTATTGAGATAATTGTAGAGTCACATGCAATTGTAGGAAATTACATAGAAAGATCCCTCATATTTGCTCTTTACATCCTATTTCCTTCTGCAGAACCTGCTGTTAACACTGGCCCTCTGTGCACAGGTCTTTCGCCCTTGTTCCCTGTGCCTGGACCTCTTCTTTGCCATATTATTATTCATCGTTTCAGGCTCAGTTTAAATCATTTCCTTTTGGGAAGTATTCCTTGACCCTTAAATCTAGATTAGGTGCCTCTGTTCTGTACTCCCCTATCCAAGCACTAAACGTGCTGTAATTATGATTGGCCTTTTGTTTACTCAGCTGTGTCCTGCTCTAGGCTGTGGGTTCAGTGAGGACAGGAGACTGACCCATGTTCACGTGTGTGTCCTTGACATGTGGTAGAATGCCTGGTACACATGTAGGTGTTCATACTTGTCAAAGAACGGGTGAAGCTCAAAGCACTTGTAGGGTTTATTTGTACAAAGCCTTCCATGTAGTTAAAGGTCTGAGTAGAGACTGGATTCCAGGTCCTGACTTCTCATGTCCAGTGCTCTTTCACTTCTCATTTTCATATCCATTCTTTCTTTTGATTCTTACAGCTGCTCTCGGGAAAGGACCGATAGGAACATTGGGGCTGAATGAGGTTATGTCTAGGAACCACAGCAGGGCTAGGTCTGGGAGCTCCCAGTCCAGAAGACTGGATGTCTGTGTAATGGCTCTTCACCGGGCATCTTCTAGTCATTTGTTCAGTTGTACTAATGGACAGGTTTTTTTAGATGTGTGATTGACCTTTTAAAACTACTTTATAACAAATGTATAGCATGCAAATAGTGATAGTACCTGTTTCATAAAAACTAAATGAGATAATGCATGTTAGATGCTTAGAACAGTGCCCGTAAGTACTTAATAAATTGTGGCTGTTATTATCGCTGAATCATTCTCTCACTTGAATCACACTGAACCTGCATCAGTTATATCTAATGAGCCCCTAAGATATCCCTCCCTTATGTCGATACAAAGTGCTGTATTTAAAATAGGAAGTCTCCTGAATTTCCACGTGAGACGTGGTAGATCAGCCCAGCTCTATTCTTTACACTGTAGTAGGAGAGCTATGTTTTAGTAGGTAGAAACTCACACTTTAGGCAATTTGGGGGGTTGTGTCTGCCTGAAATACTTTTCTGCCTTTGATAACATCACGGGGATAATTTAGTGCGTAGGCTACTTTTGTGATCCTGAAAAGCTCTTTACACATAGGAATTGATCTACAAGGTATAATTTATAATGTGCCTACTTTATATTGTTCATTTTACCAAACACTGTTGGTGGATAGAAAGATAGCTAATACATGACATCTATCTTTAAAGAGCTTGTGACATAATAAGAAATTATTATAGCCTTCATATAACAAAGTAGAAATTGGTTATTGTCATAAACATAATGTGGTTAAAAAGTGCAATGGGGAGTCAGAAAAGGAGAGATTACCGTTTGGTGGGGGATAGTGAGAATCTGAGAAACATCATGGTAGAGGTGGAATCTGAGCCAAGCACTGAAGGGTGGTTAGGATTTGAACAGAGGTCAAAAGGATACTTCAGGAGGATGGAAAAGCATGAACAGAATTGTGGATGCAAATATAATAGGACGTATTGGAGACTGGTAAGGGGTCCTTTTTTCGTCTGGTTAGTAGGTGTCTTAAGAGGTAGAAGCAGAAGGTAAGACTAGAAAGATAACTTGGGGTCATGTTGTATAGGGTCTTGAATATTATGTTATCCTAGGGATTTTAAACCTTACTGTAGGCAGTGAAGAATGATTGATATATTTGAAAAAGGCAAAGCAACAAAATTAAGCAATTGAATGAATGATACCTAATACATTGGATTGGAGGTGAGGAGACCAGTTAGTAGACTTGAAAGGAATAGACATCTACTGAGATATGAGGGATAGAGAATTCAAGCTCAGATGACTTGAATGGTGGACTCTGCTTGTTGAACTAAGGGTGTCGAGAGGGGAAAGGTGTTCGGGGTAAGGTAAGGGAGGAGTTGATTGTGGAGGTGATTAGTTTTATTTTAGAGTTTGAGTTGCTTATGGAACTCATCCAGGTGACTGTTCAGCATAAATTTATGAGTCAGTAGGATATAGAGGTGATAACTGAAGTCATGAGAATGGATGAGAGAGATTATAGGGCTGTGCTGGCTAAAGCAGTGAGTGATTAAATTTAAATTAATTAAAATGAAATGAAGTGAAAGATTCCATTTTCCCATCACACTAGCGCTATTGGAAGTGTTGAAGAGCCACATGGGACCAGTCACTGCCCTGTTGGACAGCACAGATATCGATCATGTCTAGAGTTATAGATCGTTCTATTGGACAGCACTGTCACTTAGAAATGAGAGGATGTTTGACTTAGGATGAAGCAGAAAGAGGATCCAGAGGAAGAAACCAAGAACACAGTGGCACAGAAGCCAAAGAAAGATAGCCATGTGGTTTAAAATGCTGCATACAGGTGTTAGAGGATGAGCATTGCATTGGGGATCCCTGGTAATCTTGGACCAAGAACTTTCGGTAGAGTTATGAAGGTGAAACCCAAAACGTGAGTTCTGAAATGTTCTAGCAGTAAGGAGTAGAGTCACAGGTAGCTCTGTTTTGTATTTTACTTCATTAACATGTGTTTTTTTTGTTCTCGTGGCATTTACAGGAGGCCTCCAGTAAATGTTATTGCCCTTAGCATTCAACAAAGACTACATAGGTAGGCAGGGACCTGGGGGTGGAGGCTGCAAAGTAAGAGCAGGAACACAGCATCAGCAAGCAGCTGGAAAAAGCATATGATAGTGCTCAGCCAGAAAGCTTTTAGAGCTGAGCTCCCTGAGAAGAGAGCTGGTGAAATGGGGCATTTGACTGTCCAGCACAGAGGCCAAGGGAGTGTTTGCCTTGGGCTATCGGAAAACCATTGGCAGCTATTGATATTGCAGCGTTAGAAGCTTTGTCTTAGATGTTGGAGGCACAAAGGATGTGCTGGTTGAGCATGAGGTACGGGGGAAGATGGGTACGTGACATTTTGAAAATTGATTATAGAGCATTTCAAACCTATAAACATAAAATAGTATAACGAACCCTGTGTACCCAGTACTCAATGTTCAGCAGTTAATCAGCATTGGCATTCCTGTTTTGCCTTTATACGCCCATCTACTTGATTACCATTATTCTTATTTTCTAGGTGTTTTCTGAGGTGTAATTTACATACACGGAAATGCACAAATGTTAGCTATCGATTTTGACAAGTGAATACACCCCATGTGCACTGTACCTTACCACAGTCTATAGTATTTCCATCAACTCGGGGAGTTCCTTTGTGGCACATGACACTTTAATGAGGCCATTTTTTATCAGAGGATATTTTCATACAGCCTAAAATTTAACCATAACAGCTTTTCATTGCCAAGACATTTTTGCTTCTTTCCTGAGCTTTACCTCAGCCCAGTCCTCACCTCACTATGACCTCTGTCTCTCAGTGGCCTCTATTCCTGCAAACCAGTGATTCCAGAGACACTGAAATATCCCACTGTTGGTGACTGTTGGTTATATACTTTAATACAGCTTTTCAGATATGTCCTTTTAAAAGTGGTCTTGAAAAACTTTGCCTCACCAAAAGGTAAGACTGAGTCAGTTGCTAAACCACTGAAGGCAGTGTGAGGGGGTGTGTCGTGGGGCGTGGTGGAGTGTCAGGATGAGGATGGTCAGAAGGATGTGCAGGCGGGCGGCTCAGAGCGCTAAGAGAGGAAGGGTGTTGGAGGGAGAGTGGAACGCTGATCGGGGGGTGACAGGTGGCGAGACAGCAGGGAAAGGTGGAAGGAGAGGTGTTGTGGGAAGTGATGTGATCTTGACGTATGAGGGAGAGGAAAGGAGTGCTTTCTGAGGGAACACCCAAGGAGGCGGGTGAGTTTATTCACGTTAGGAAAGGTGTTTCACTGGGCACAGTGAAAAGGCCAGGAAAGGGGGAGTTAGGGTTCACGTGGGAAACAGTGGCTTTAGACATTATGATAGAGTGAAGATGTCGGAAGGGTAAGTAGGAGTTTTTACCCAGGTAGAAAATACTTGATGGGGTCCAAGAGGACTAGGGTTAGGAAGGATAAATGGAGGGGTACGTTAGTGATGAAGTTTGGGGTGCAAAGTAGTGCAGAGCAAGAAAGAGAGTATATTGAATTTCTTAATTGGGGATTTGCGGAAATAACAAGCCCTAGACTTATTGATACAGCGTTGATGTAGTTGTTGTGGGGTCAGCAGCTGACCTTTAAAATGCTTATTGTGATTGTTAGTACAATTCCTCATGCCTTATTTGGGTCGTGCATGGGTGGGCCAGGACAGATAGCTGGTGGGACGTGCCTTTGCAGATACGCCACCTGGCGCTCGGTTTTCTTACCACATCACCATTGAGAATCATGCTCGCCTCTGTTTTTTAAAAAGCTGCTGCTGCTGCTGCTGCTGGATCTGTTTCTGGGCGGAAGGAGCTGTTGAGGGACCAGGCCCACTTGGTGTGTTGCAGACACACAAAACACTGTTC